GGCTAACAGACCTAGGACAAGACTTTTATTTGTAATTATAGGTCAGACCAAACTTGTAATTTAGTGCCTATACAGGCTAACAGGCCAGGCCACATCCAATATTCTTTATACAAGTTTGGTCAGTTAAAATCTAGCCTAGCCTAACTTATTTACACCCCTGACCCTTAATACCGTGAAGATTCTTTGGTCGAGTCAATGATACATAGAAATTAGTGATGTATTATCGCGAAGATCACATATATTCGTATATTAGTTAGGACATGTTTAAAAATAGATCAATTAAAAAAACCATTTTTTTTAAATCAATTCAAAATAATGTGTTTGAATTAGTTAATTTTTAAAAATAATCAGTATTTTTTTTATAATTTTAACAATAAGGGATTAGTATTTGTATTTTTAAAGAATATGAAATTGTGTTATTTTAAATGTGAGAGATAGAAAATAAAAATCATGAAGAGAGAGAGAGATTTCTTTTAATTTAAATTTTAAATAAAAAACATTAATTTTATACAAAATATCTATCTTCTAAAACGACAAACATTTATTTAAAAAAAAAAAAAAAAAACGACAAACATTTTTCGGTAATGATAATATAAAATGCGCCCGCAGTGAGATATGAAAGTCATTGACGTTGTTCGGTGGAATCTACTATCTTGGCCCTAGACAACGCATAAGAAGTCGCATAATTTTGGCTCCAAAGCTGTCGTACCTTGCAATGTGTCTCCATGGCCCATGCTTTCTGGTGCTTTTCAACATGCCCAACTCATATTCGTAAAATTGATGTATGCACTTGATTTCCAGAAGCTTTATTATATTTTGAGGAAAAAAAGAATGAATAAATAAATAAATCCATCCTCTATATATCATTGAAGAAATTGTTAGCATATTGCAGTGGCGGAGCCACGTTGTGGCCTGTAGTTGTCTTGGCACTGGCTTATTTAGCCACGTTCATTTAGTTACGCTTGAAATGTAGCAAATTTTGTTTCAATTTTTTTGAAAATTAGCCACGTTTTAATCGTAGCTAAAGAACCGTAACTATTTGGGTACTGGCTGAATTTTTTGACACTTGCTAACATATCATGCTGACTCCGCCACTGCATATCTGCGGTTTTGACAGGGTTCATTGGTTCTATATAAGGTTGTCACGGGAGCTATGAGGACCCTACGGTTTTCCTCCATGCACAAGTTCATATTAGAACAATTTTATATAATTATCAAATAGCTTCTAATTTTAATTTTTTAACTTTAACTTAAAAGTAAATTACAGATTACAGCTTAAAAAAAAGGTTGTGTTAACTCTAGGAAGCTGGTCAGAGTTACTTAAACTCTCATTTGATATAGCAATAGGAGGTTTGTATTGGTAGAGGACAAAATCCTCCTCATTGCTTGTGAGCATTTGGAGCGGCAACAAGCCAAGGAGCGATGTGCACCTATAAGGTGAATATTAAACATGAGGTATTTGTAACGAGGTTAGTGATGCTACTGCATGTGGAGCATCGCTACTCTAAACATAGGGCGTAGCTACAAGTATCGTGTTAAAGAAAAGGTTGTCGTCGCGGTGCCATGATATAGAGTATAGACAACGTGAGGAACTACAGCTTACGAAACCTATTTACTGGTTAGGTTTTGGACCAACTTAGTGGATGCCTTGGATCTTGCATTCGGCTCAAAACCACTTTGAAATATTTGTAATTTTTTTGAAGAGTTTAATGTTTTTAATAAATTTATCTCCTACACAAAGCATGTGATGCCCATATAAGAAAAAGAAAAAATAAATAAATATAAGTTCTATATATATATATATATATATATATATATATATATATATATATATGAAATAAATGAGAAATAATAAATTATTTTTTAAAACGGAAAAATAATCTCCCGGCGACAAGAAATATTTTGTTTCATGCTGTAAAGACAAAAATAATGGACCCATATCTTTGAGAAAAAAAAAAAAAAAAAACTAATTTTTGATGGGTCAACAGGAGGGGGTGTTTTTCTCCCGAAAAACATACCCCTTTTTAAAATTCGGAATTGATCTAAGGCCGCAAATAGATGTCTAAGGCTTAATATTCATTGGGCTAGAGAATTTCAAAAATAAGGAACAAGAGCTCAACTATGTTGGATTGGTGGGCTAACTTTGAATAGGTCCGCGTAAAGGGGGTGGCGTGTGATGTACCGGGTCCGTCTCTATGACAAGGGTGTTCATCAATCGATCAAAATAAATTCAAACCGCAGAAACTGAACCGAAAAATCGATAACCGAATAAATCGAAAATTGAAAAAAATCCGCAAATTTTAATTGGATTGGATCAGTTTTCGGATGGGTTGATGAAAACCGATCGAATCCAAAATAATCCAATATATTAATTCTCCTCTACCTACTTGGTCATTTCCCCAACTATAGCCCAAAAATTTCTAAATCCAAGACCCATTAACTCATCAATTAAACAAAAAAAAACTTAGTCACATCTCATCAACTACAGTATTGTTTACTGATATTTTTGTATTTCAAAAAAAATAAAATTTACAAAGCCAATATATACAAAAGATGTTATTTGCATAATAATCATGAAACTAATTTTAGGATATTCAAAAAACTGAAAACCGATCCAATCCAAATTGAAAAAAAATTGGATTGGATCGGATTGAATTTGAAAAAAAATCTAAACCAAATAGATTATTACATGATCAAACCAAAAAGATTGGATCGGATGAGTTTTGTTTCCAAAACCGATCCAATCCAGACCACGAACACCCCTACTCTATGACTGCGTTTAGCACTTAGCAGTTTGGAAGGAAAGAAAAAAAAAAGGAAGGAGTTCCAAAGAAAATAGAAAAAAAAGAAGGAAGTTTGAGACTTAAAAATATAATAAGAAATAAAAATAGGGAGTTAATAAGATATTTTTACAATTTTATTCTTTCTTAAAAACTAATATAATTATTAATTTTATAAATAAAGTTAAATTAATTTTAAAAATAAATTTAAATTAATTTTTTTAAAAAAAAATTTATTTAAAAAACAATTCTCTAAAAATTTATTTTCTCTCTAAAATTGTTTATTTCGTATTATAATTAAATTAAAATTGTTAGTAAAGGCATATAAATAATTTATTATATTTTTCCTCTCAAACATTAAATTAGGAAAACTCAATTTTTAAGGAGGAGAAAAGTATTGGAAAGTTTTACAAAAATATCCTATTTTCCCCCCTCATTTTTTAAAGCTCGCATATAAGGAAAAGACGGGAAAAGCACCATTTTGAAGTATTCAGACAAAAGAATTGCCCGGTTAAAACTGATTGGATAAGTTTTTTCAAAGTAATGCAGTCAAACATGTCGCCTATGCTGACGGGACTAGTCCCGTCACTGATACTGACGGGACTCGTGCCACGTCAGCGCCACGTAGGCAATCCAATTACCGTAAATCTTCGGAAGACCATAACTTGTGACTCGGGTATCCAAATCAGATGATTTTTTTTTTGATTTCACATAACTTTTCGAGATCTACGCAATGATATCTCGTTTGACATATTTTATCTCCCACAAACATAGTTTGAATTTGTAACAATTGTATCACAATCACAAGAGTGTTTATCCATAAGACTATGTTTGTGGGAGATAAAATATATCAAATGAGGTGTCATTGCGTAGATCTTGAAAAGTTATGTGAAATAAAAAAAAAATCATCTGATTTGGATACCCGAGTCACAAGTTATGGTCTTCCGAAAATTTACGGTAATTGGACTGCTTACGGCGCTGACGTGGCACGAGTCCCGTCAGCATAGGTGACATGTTTGACTGCATTACTTTGGAAAAACTTATGCAATGAGCTTTAACCGGGCAATTCTTTTGTCCAAAAACTTTAAAATGGTGCTTTAGCCAGGAAAAGACATAAACAAAATATTCTCCTTCTATGTATTAAAAAAAAATCTCCTTTTTTTTCTTGTAAATATTAATTCCCAAACACATCCTAAATGTGTAGGGAGAAAGAATAATAGTAGGGAAAAAAGTATCTAATGTTACTTTAGATAACTTCGTCTAATGTTCATTGAAATGACGTCGTTTTGGGGTTGAAAAATAAAAAAACTAGAATAATAAAGATTATTATAACCCTGAAATAAATTAAAATTATAAAAACACCATGATTTTCGTCCCAAAACGACGTCGTTTCGGTAAACATTAGATAAAGTTATCTAAAATAACTTTAAAAAAAAACACCCATAATAGTAATGGTAAATTCTTCAAGCCTCTTTCTCAAAGGTAAAAATGAGAATTTTTAGGGCACAAAAGATTCCAGTAATGGCAGGAGTGTGACCTAAAATTGTTAACTAATGTGGCTCACCTTCAGAGTGTAGTGAGCTCATATCTTATGATGAGGTAAGTGTATATTGAAGTGAGGGGAATAATATATCCGATGTGGTAGGATTCACGATCTAATCGTGAGATGGTCTGTAACTTTTCCTAGAACAAGATTGTATAATTTTGCTAAAGTTTTCATAATTTTATTAGAGCGAGATACTTCCCACTAAAAAAGTGTATCACTTTTATAATCAATTTAATTATTGTTGAATTTCATTAATTTAACAATTATAATTTATTAAAAATAAATAAATAAATAAATAAATAACAAATATTATTAATTTTTAATAAATTACAACATTTATATTGATAGAAAGTAACGGTGATTAAATTAATTGTAAAAGTGATAAATTTGTGATTAGTATATGGGTTGCCAATTTTATTTAGTAAATTTGTAATTTTTTTAAGAGTTAATCTTCTCTCATTTTACACGTGAAAAGATTATAATGTTACACGTATAATTAAAAGGTGATCCTATCTTTATTTTTTATCTTTTTCACTTTTTTATAAATTCCACTTGTGTATTGAGTGTGTAGTATATGAGAAAATTTTGTTAATCTCCTTTTTTTAAATCCTGTAAATGATGTATCATCTTTTGCAAAAACACACCACAATAAACGCCTGAATTTAAATAAAATTTAAGATAAAATATCACCTTAAAATAACGAAGGAGGAGATCGCCGCTAATGAGAGAGGGGGAAGCAGAGAATGGAAAAGAGCCGCAAAAGGAAGCAGAAGGTGGAGCGTGACGACAAAGAACCAAAGTCCAAGTCGGTTCGTGTGGGTCCAAGCCGAACCGAAAACCTCAAAGACCCATTCCCATCTCACAGTCGACCCACCCCGCCAGAGTGCCAAGCCGTACGAGACACTCTCTTAGCCGTACACGGTTTTCCCCCAGAATTCGCCAAGTACCGCAAACTACAACCAACCGATCATACGGTCGAACCGGAGCCATCAGAGACCGTTCTGGACGGTTTGGTTCGAACCGTGCTCTCGCAGAACACCACTGACGCCAATTCCCAACGGGCCTTCGCTTCCCTCAAATCCTCCTTTCCCACTTGGGAACATGTAGGTAACATAACGACATCGTTTGCGTTGTATTCATACCACAATCTTTTGTCTTACGTTGGGTTTGAGAACGGTGGTGTTTTGTTTTTGTGTTTTGAACTTGAAGGTGCTTGGTGCTGAGTTCAAGGATGTGGAGAATGCCATTCGATGTGGAGGTCTAGCCCCAACTAAAGCTTCTTGTATTAAGAATGTGTTACGTTGCTTGCTTGAGAGAAGAGGCAAATTGTGCTTGGAGTATTTGCGAGACTTGTCCATTGATGAAATTAAAGCTGAGCTGTCTCTTTTCAAAGGAATTGGTCCCAAAACAGTAATCTTCTTTTCCTCATCTCTCTCTTAGCTTCAAACACCGTCCACTAATTGGGAAAATTAATGGAAATGAAAAGAACTAGTTCGGTTCTTTATGGCATTGTAACTTTCTAACCGATAAGGACCTTCTAGTTTTCTTAATTTACAATATAAGCACCTAAAAGGTCATCATCCAATTTCCATTCTTATAACATTTTTTCAGGTGTTGGTTACAAGTATGTATCTAAGGAGTAGTTTCAGGTCTTTGTTTGCCTCTGCTTAAGCAAGTATACCTCGAACAGTTCTAGTGGCCTATTATTCACTTGGTAGTAATTCAACTAGTAATATTTGAGTCATCTGTACCTTATGTCATTGTTATTTTTTAGGAGTTAGAATTGCTTGTGATCCTAGAAATTGGATTAAGTAATATATTTTACCTTATCTTGCATTTTTCTTTGTAGGTTGAATCACTTGTGATAGAGCACAATATTTCCTACCTGGCTATATGTAAAACCTTTATTATGTTACTTCTTGAATTGCAAATTTATGATTGAATATACCTCAGTTTATGGATTATCATGAGTATCTAATTGCTATGCCCCCCCCCCCCTTCTCCTCTCTCTCTCTCTCTCTCTCTTTAAATCTTTTTAAACAACATTGCTCTGATGTGGCTGGCAACGTACTTTGTTGTGAAAACTGAGATACATCTTTTATAATTTGATAAAAATGCGAACTCTGGCAAATAATATTGTTTCCCTCCTATTCAATTTTCTGTACCTGATCTCTTTTCAATTTTAACGCCTACTTCGGTACTTTGTTTACTTCCCATTCAAAGGCCACTTTTCTCCAACATTTTAAACCGGTCTCCACATGAGTATGTCACACTAAGATTAATTTGCAGGTGCATGCATATGTGTTCATGTTTTTGCAATATGTAGTATATGAAGTGAGGGGTAAAGTGATAGGGACATCAGACATGGACAATCTGTGAACTCAAAGTAGTTTGGTGTAGAGAAGGCACACTGTCCTACTGGCATCCCAAACCCATGAATTCGAGTGCTTTGTGGTGCTTCTGGCAGATTGGTTTTTTGAGGGGACTATGGGCTTAATTTGGATGTTAAGTGATTGCCATTAATGGTCAGGGCACAAGATTATAGGGTTTTGACTCTTGTAATGCATGGTGGATTCTCTTTTTCAGAACTTGGATTTACCAATGGAGTGAAATAATAAGCTTTTCTGTCACCATATTGCTTATATTATCGAAATATTAAAGATTTCCGCCCATGTTAGGACAATGTTTTCTTTAATCTTTTTGATAAGAAGGAGGATAATTTTCAAATTGGATTAAGGAAGACTTTTCCATTCTGTTTTTGGGATATTGTAGTACCAAGACATTCAGATCCTTGATTTGGAATTGTGTAAATTGCTTTTCCCGTACGATGGATTAAGTATGATTCATGTTATTCGTTGGATAATTTATCGTCTTAATAATATGTCAAAGATGATTGTATTTTATTGCATCATTAGTAAGTATTATCATGTCAAAAATTCAATTGAGCATAAATGTCTCTGTCCTTTCCCCATTTGTGTTGGTTTCTCTGAATTACGGGATTTTGGTTATAGGTGGCTTGTGTGTTGATGTTCAATCTTCAGCAAGATGATTTTCCTGTGGACACTCACGTAAGTGTGATTCCATCTTTCTTTTATAGCTTTTGACTCAATTGAGTTATTTCTAACACCTGAATATTTATGCAGATATTTGAGATCGCAAAAACCATTGGTTGGGTACCGGCTGTTGCAGACAGAAATAAGACGTATCTCCATCTAAATCAAAGGATCCCAAATGAACTTAAGTTTGACCTGAATTGCCTTCTATTTACACACGGGAAGCTCTGCCGTAAATGCACCAGTAAAAGGGGTAACCACCAGCCAAAGAAATGTAATGATGACTCCTGTCCTATATTGAATTATTATAAAGAGTCAGTTTGAACTTTGAACTTTGAATTCTGCAAACAAATTATTTTGAGTCGTTTTTCTTAAAGTACATGAACTCAATATGAGCATCTGATCTTCTAACTGTATAGAATACAAGTGGTATAGACTTAGGCTGGAAAACATCTTTGAAATGTTAGTTGAAAGTTAGGCTAACCATGAGTGCTAGTGGATCAAACACTTGTAGGGTTTGGATTGTTTGAAAATTGTTGTCTATCTTTGGTTCAGTAAGCGGGTCTCACCCAAAATTATGTGACATCTGCTTGTGTTTTTAAAGAGATAAAGAGAACATAGCCCTTTAAGGGCACGGGTTACAAAACCAATTAGACCCAATTTTTGGAGTTACCTTGCTTTGGCTTTCGGCTATTATGGAAGTCTCTCGGTCCTCTCAAGATATTTGATCTACACCAGTCAGTATTCACTAGAGCTTCAGCAGCAGCTACGATACTTGACACTTACATCTTTCTTATTTAGCCGAATAAAGTTCACATCGTAGTTTCTTGTTCCGTGAATTCCTTTCTGCTCATATAGACATCCATATTCCTTATATTCCAAAGGGTAATCTAGATTTATCACGATTAAGCTAGCATAGATGGGAAATTGAACCATGAGAATTTGCTCTTAGAAAATAATATAAATCATTAAAAAATCTCTCATCCAACATATTAAGGTTTTGGGTTGAAATGTTTCTTTACATGGTATCAGAGCTTCAGGAACCATGAGGTCACGAGTTCGATTTTCACCCCTCACTTTCAGGTGGAATTAAGAAAAACACAGCGCAGACAAAAAAAAAGGGCTTGTGCAGCACAAGGCAAATCAAAAATGGGCTTGTGTCATATCCACGCTTCAAGCCCAAAGGGCGGAGTGTGTTAGAGAGATACAAAATAAATAATTTAGCCTCATCCAGTACCTTAAGGTTTTTGGTTGAAGTGGTTCTTTACATGGTATCAGAGCTTGAGTGACTATAAGGTCACAAGTTAGATCATCACCGCCCCCACTTTAAAGTGGAATCAAAATAAAAGCACAAAAGGTAAATTAAAAAATATCCTCACCGCCCTCCACTTTAAAGTGGAATCAAAATAAAAGCACAAAAGGTAAATCAAAAAATTGAGCTTGTGCAATATTCACGCATCTAGGGCTCTTACGTGAGGAGTGTGTTAGAGAATAATATAAATCATTAAAAAAATCCTCATCCAACACCTTAAGGTTTTGAGTTGAAATATTTCTTTACATTTGCTTCTTGATAGGATTAAAAGAAGTGGAATTCTCATGATGAAATACAAAATTTTGGAATTTCAATTAAGTGCTCATTATTTATTTTATTATTTTATTTCAATTAAAATGATGTTTTAGAACAGTTCATGAGATTAAAATGTAAATTATTTGTTTATTTTAGTACCAGAGTTTTAAAAAAAAATTTTTTTTACCATATCAAAATAGTTTTAGTAAAGGTTTAAAATTCATGGGAAGCACCTTGAAGTGAAAGGTAAAGCCAAAGCTTGGTAAAAATTAATCCCACGAAAAAAGGATGTAAGGATATTCAGTGTATATGTGTTGGTCAAACAACTATATACTTGTTAAATGTTAATGTATAAATATGCCAAAAAATATTTAATTTTTTTTTTGTTAAATTGACAAATTATTATAATTATTCAAATATTTATTTTGGAAGAGATTTTTGATTATGGCAAAAATAAAAGTTTTATTCTTATCTTTATCATTGTTTTTCGTGCATTTAATTGTTGTAATTTATTAAAAATTTACAATTAATTAATAAATTTAATTTAATAAATTATAACCGTTATATCTATGATTTATATATAAAAATAAAGAAAAGTTATACTTACAATCTATTTTTTTTATAATTTCTTACAATCATATCTTAATCTTTGATTTATATCAATTTAACAGTTATAATTTATTGAGTCATATTTATTAATTAATTATTAATTTTTAGTAAATTATAATTGTCACATCAGATTGGCAAAAATCTTTATTGAGTCATATTTATTAATTAATTATTAATTTTTAGTAAATTATAACTGTCACATCAGTGATGCAGTAACAACAAGATAGGAAATATTAGTTGTCGGGGATACAAGACCACAGAGGCAAAAAAGAATTCCTTTGTGGCTTGGCGACTATGCTTAGTATTAGATAAAAGATTGAGGTGGCTAGTTAGTGTTAGTAGGTAATATGAGGTGGACTATTGTAAGTGGGCCTGAATATAAATACTCTTTCCTTTTATTGTAAAGGCATATAGAGAATAAAAGTGACTTGTTTTCTTGTTCCCTTTCTCTCTCAGACATATCACCCAAAATCTGGTGCTTCCATTTCGAGTTGAACTTCAACATGCGCATCCAAGAAGTTGCAGAGGAATTGCGCTCTGAATTTAAAAAAGAAGTGCAATCAACGCGTTCAGATTTGCAACAAGTCAACAACGCTTGGATCAACTCACTGATTCAGTTCTACAATTGGATTCTCGTCTTTGAGAGTTCATGTCGCAGACCCGAAACCCACCCCTATTCAATTCCTATCAACCTCCAATAGGTGGTCATGCTAGAGCATTGCGGACTTATTTAAGACTTTCAGCGTCTTTTTATTGGAAGTCAATGCGCAGTGATGTTAAATAATTTGTCCATGATTGTGTCATATGTCAGCAGGTCAAGTCTATTACAATGCCATCTCAAGGCCTTTTGCAGCCTTTACCTTTCTTGTGGGAGCTTATGAAGATCTCACCATGGATTTCATAACTGGCCTTCCATTGTCTAAAGATTTGTCCACAAATTTTGTTGTCGTTGATCGCTTTACTAAGCATGCTCATTTTGGAGGTCTTCCCTCTTCGTCTAATGCATCTTCGGTGGCCCAATTATTTTGTTCTATGGTTGTTAAACATCATGGCTTTCCCAAAACGATCATCTCTGACAGGGATAGTATATTCCTCAGCAAATTTTGGGTTCATTTATTTCGTCTAAGTGGGACAACCTTGCGTACTAGCTCTGCGTACCCCCCCCACACTGATGGCCAATCAGAGGTAACCAACAGGTATTTGGAGCAGTACCTCAGGGCATTTTGCAGTGAACAAAGCAGTCTTTAGTCTACTTACTTGTGTTGGGCAGAGCTGCACTATAATACGGCTATACACCCATCCATCAAAATGTCCCCAGATCAAGCTTTGTTTGGAAAGCTCCCAACTATGATTCCTCCTTATTTGCCTAATGAAGTTTTGGTTGAAGCAGTTGATTCTACCTTGAAGCAACGTGATGAATTACTAGCTAGCCTGAAGAGGAATTTGCATCAAGCTAGGAATTGCATGAAGGTACGTGCTGATAAACATCGTCACGAACAAACATTTAAGGAAGGAGATTTGATTTTGGTGAAGTTGCAACCTTATCGCCAAATTTCTGTTGCTCGAAGAGGCTGTCACAAACTCTCCAAATGCTATTTTGGACCTTTTTCCATCAAGCGTGTCATCAATTCTGTTTCTTATCAGGTGGCTCTACCGGAGAGTTCTCGTATTCATCCCTCATTCCATGTTTCAGTTCTCAAGGCTTTTTTTTTGAACTCTTCCCCCACACCTCTCTTCTCTACCAGACACCAGCATTTACAATCGTCCAGTAGAGCAACCCATTGCGTTACTCATGTCTCGAACACACTCAGTGGCAGGCCAGCCTAGAAAAGATTTTTTGGTGCAGTGGTCACATTCATTACCAGATGATGCTTCTTGGGAGCCTGCTTCAGAGCTTGCTAGTGTGTACCCTCATTTGAACCTTGAGGACAATGTCCCTTTGGAAAGGGGAGCAAATGATGTAGTACCAACAAGCAAGGAAATATTAGCTGTTGGGGATACAAGACCATAAAGGCAAAAAAGGATTCCTTCGTGGCTTCGCTACTATGCTTAGTATTAGATAAAAGATCCAGGTGGCTAGTTAGTGTTAGTAGGTAATATGAGGTGGACTATTGTAAGTGGACCTGTATATAAATACTCTTTCCTTTTATTGTAAAGGCATATTGAGAATAAAAGTGACTTGTTTTCTTGTTCTCTTTCTCTCTCAGACATATCATCGATTGGCGAAAATAAAAAATTAAGATTTAGTTGTAAGAGGCTGTAAATGAAAATATGTTATAAGTATATTTTTTTCATAAAAATAAGTTAAAATTAAAAGATTTTTTTTAATTTAAATTTTTTTTCCTTAAAAAGATAAAGGAAGAGATCTTAAAAGGTAAAGTTTAAAAAAATCTCACAAGTCAAAATAAAGATGACTAATAAATGTTTCTCATGGTTGTGTGGATTCATATGAAATAGTACGAAGAGAAAAAAAGAAAAAATTTACTGTGATACCACACATTTTTAGGTGTGCTGGAGATAACCAAAAACATTAAACTCATCATGTAAATCTCCGCTTTCATCAATCATTTAACGTAAATATTAATGATAAAAAAATGAGATTTATTATTCTTATATTACATAAGAAAAAATTTATCTTTTATACACACAAATTCAAGATAAGTCCACTTTACTTTTTCTCTCTCTTTTTTTGAAAATAAATCTTACTTATACAAAGAGTCAGTAATAGATAATTATTATCTTCGAGAAAACTATTACCCAAAAAAAAAAAAAGTTCATAGAGAAAGGGTTTACCGATTTTAATTTTGAAAACTCCCAAAGACTGCATGAAACTGAAACTCATTTTCAGTTTGCACCGTCGTTATACTTCTATATGATTGTGATTACTCAATGTTTCAGCATTCACCAGATCTTGGGAATTTTCTAAGGTGCATCAGTAGCATCGTTTATTGAGTGTGACCAACGAATTAAAAATGGAGAAAAAATCTATAAATTGTACGGAGAAAAAAAGAAAGAAATAATTTATACATGTGTCATTTGTTTAAAAGATGATGCACCTACGACAGATGCACGGATGTGTTCCAGATCTTGGTTGCTACTCCTTCACCGCTACAGCATAATCCACTTTGTTTTCTTTCCCCTCGTTTCAAACCAAAGTCCTCAAAACAACCTTGTACATCAAAAATCCCATGTTTCCTCCTCGTAATTACTCGGCATGCTTTCTTTTTCTCTCCGTCCTTGTACTTTCCACCTTCCCCAACCCCTCCATATCAGACTCACAATCCCCTTGGGCTACCAAGAAAATGCGCATGAGAGAAAAAGTTCGCACTATGTA